TTGTTAATAGCCTATGATATGCAAATGACACAACCTTGCTTGCTCAAAGTGAAGAGGACCTGAAGCGCTTGCTGCACAAGGTCAAGGACTGTAGTCTTCAATATGGACTGAAGCTCAACATCAAGAAGACAAAGATTCTCAGCACTGGGCCAACTGGCAGCACCATATTAGATGAAGAAGAGATTGAGGTTAGTAATTACAGCTTGCTCAGCTCCACAATCACGACTCTTCACATCAGCAATCAGGAAATCAAAAGATGAATTGCATTGGGAAAATCTGCTGTCATGGACCTCTCCAGAGTTCTGAAAAGCAATGATATCAGTCTAGAAATAAAGGTGCACCTAATCCAGGCCACAGTTTTCTCAATTACATGTTATGCTTCAAAGAGCTGGATAATGACTAAGGATGACAGAAGAAGAATAAGTGCCTTTGACTTATGGTGCCTGAGAAGAGTCTGGAACTTACCATGGACTGCCAAGGAAAACAAATAAGTCTGTCTAAGAGAGAGTAAAAACAAGTTTCTCCTTGGAGGCTAGGATTTTGAAGCTCTGTCCTACATACTTAGGGCACGTGTGCAGGAGAGAACGGTCCTTGGAGAAGGACATCATGCTCGGAAGGGTGGAGGGACAGTGCAAGTCAGGAAGATCTTGGATGAGACGGAATGATACAGTAACTGAGGCAATGGGGGTTGGTGTGTCTGAATTAGTGAGACTCGCTCAGAACAAGGAAGGGTGCAGAGCTGCTGTACATAGGGTCGCTGTATGTCACAGGCAACTCAATGGCAAATAAAAAAAGAAACATACTATATTGGTTGTTTTGTATTTAAGCTTCTTGTTTAGAATCAACAAGACCTTAGGGAGAGCCTTTGTATTTAAAAGTAGGCTGTTATTATATTTTGGAGGAACATTCTTCTCAGTGGTACAGCCCTTTTCTATCAAGGTGATGTACATAGGTAACCTGGGGCTGTTGTGATGCTGAACTTTGTGCCATTAAGCTGTCAAATGCCATAGCGGTTACCCACAGTGGACAGTTTGGTGGAGGTCCAAGTTTAAGGCACGTTTGGAAGCAGGAGCGGCATCCACTTCCTAAACAACATGCCTCTGCAAACACTATAAACTTTGATAAATGATGATACTTATAGAAAGGCTTCAGGCCTCTTGTTTATAAGGTCGCTATGAGTAATGCTTGACTAGATGGCAATCAACAACAACATAGCTGAGAAAATCCAAGCAAAAACAGTTAAACAGCTAGTAAGTGGTTGAGCCAGGAGAGAATATGGCCTCAGAAACTGATTTTGAAATTTTTTTTCATTATTACCTCTAAATCGTGGAAACCCTCAATGTGATACATTCACTTAATTAACTATAACAGACTCAAACAAATTCAGAACATGAAGACTGCACAAGATTTCATAATATTACCTTCTGGTAGACATAAAGTTATCATAAATTGGAGCTGACCTGATGGCAACTAAGAATAACACAACATCATTTCGACAAATTGCACAAAACAACTGGAAAATACCAAGTAAATCGAGTGCTCATGAGTTATCTGAGCACAGATTAGGAACCAGTTGTTCACACAAAACAAGGAGATACTGCATTATCTTATATTCAGTAAAATACCATTTGAAATGCTTTGACAAGCAAACACAGCCTTTGAAGTGCTCACTTATCTATGCCCCCAAATTTGGAACATAATTGGCTAAGTGAGTGGGAATGATCCAAATCCATGCTCATTCTAAAGATAAATGCTTCACCAGAATAATAAAAAAATTATCAAAATATATTATTAATATCACATGCAAGTGAAACTTTGCTGAAGATAATTTAATAACAGTTGTATCAACAGTCCAAGAGGAAACTGCCAGAAAGTCAATCCATATTTAGTAGATTACATGGAATGAGGAATATAATTACTGATTTGAGATAGATTTGGCTGAAAGTAGAGAAGAATACCAGAAAGAGGTTGGCCTGTGATTGATTGACAACACAAAGATATCTGACTATAAGGATCATAACAGATTCTGTATTAACATTTCAAAGATTAGCAACACTTTTATTGTGCTCAAGGAGAACCTGCTACATGTAAATAATTCAAACAGAATAATGGGATACTACATGGCTTAACCAAAAAGCACATGGTTCAAATCTACCAACTGCTTTGAGGCAAAAAGATGGGCAATTTCTTCCCAAGTAACTTACTGCCTCTTAAAACCTGCTGGAGGATCATCTATGAGTTAGCTCTGACTTTAAGCTACACAACACCACTACTATGATTAAAAATTAGGAAAGGTATGTGTTACATCTTTTCTACATATTTATTCAATCTGTATATTGAGCAAACAATCTGAGAAGCTTCATTACAGGAAGAACATAACATCATTATTAAAAGAAGAATCATTTAAAACCTGCAATATGCTGATGACACAAGCTTGCATGCTGAAAGAGAATATGCAGCATATTCTAATGAAGAGAAAAAGGTGATAAAGATCAGAGATTAAAGTCTTCAGTATGAATTACACTTCAACATAGACAAAAGTCATCAAAACTGGATTAAAATAACAAGCAACATTATGATAATCAATCACTGTCATCAAGTTGATCATGACTCAGAGCAGCTTGGTACATCAAGTTATAGGGACAAACTTACATCAGCAGATAGACTGTCCCAACTTTTCCCATAAAACCAACACTAAGGATTTATTTTGCCTAGGTACATACTGAGGAAGTAGTCAGGAAACTAAACAGCATACTCTTCTGGGCAAAGCACAGCAGAAGAACTCTTTTGAAAATGTTTAAAAGCAAAGATGTCACATAAAGAACTAAAATACACCTGACTCAAGCCATCTTTTCAATTGTGAAACCTGGACAATGAAGAAGGAAAGGAAGATCAAAGAATTGATGCATTTGAATTAAAGTGCTACTAAAGAATATTGAGTTTCTCACGGATTGCCAGAAGAATTGTATCTCTGTACAATCCGAACTCCTTGGAAGAAGGAAAAAAAGAGAAGTACAGTCTTAGTACTATTTAGTATAGTTACAGTACTCCTTAAAAGCAAAAATGGCAAGGCTTTGTTATACATACTTTAGACATATTATCAGGAAGAACCAGTCTCTGGAGAAGAATATCATCCTTGGTAAATTAGAGTCAGAAAAAGAGGAAGAACTTTAATGAGCTGGATTAACAGTAGTTACAGAGATCATTCAAATGTAACACATATTCTGAGTATGGCACAGGATTAGGCTTCTCTCTCTCTCTCGCTCTCTCCCTCTCTGTGTCTTTCTCTGTCTCTCTCCTCATACATAGGGTTTAGAGGGCTCTCTGGTGGCCTAGTGGGTAAAGACTGTGCTGCCAACCCAAAGGCAGGTGGTCAGAATCCACCAGCTGCTCTGTGGGAGAAAGATGAGAAATATGCTCCTTTGCAATTTACAGTCTCTGAAACCCACTGAAGGATCAGCTTTGTGTTGGTTCTGACTTAGGGCAAAGAGGGAGTGAGTAATACCCAGTCACTCTGAATCAGAACCAATTCTATAGGAACTAACAATAAAAGTAAGTTGCTTTTTTGTTTTTGCTCTTCATAAAACTAAATGTTAAAATATATTGCATATTAATGACACTTTACTGAATATAGCTGGTCTCTTATATAGCTTCTTACATTATTTATAAAACCCTACATTATTAGTAATAATAAATATAAAAAAATAGAAACTAAATTATTTTATATGCTTGAAGAAAAAATACAATAAACTAAAGATCTATACACATTCTCCGGCCTATGTGGGGCAAGTGGCTGCTGTTAATGAATGAGATAGTAAAGGAACAGAGAGAATATTATGACTCATGTTCATTCAACTAAAATAATTTACTTTCATAGCACATACAAGACACATAAATGGTTATAAACAATGATTGTGAAAGACTGCAATGATGAAGTTTTAAATGATTAATTTAAACTTATTTCTGAAGTCAACTCCCTATCAATCAATGGTCATCAAATGATGAATGTTGTCCTCTTTTAAAGGACCTATAATTTAAGAGTTGCTAAAATAAGTAATAATCTTGAAGAATAACATATTAAAAAACTATAGTTTAAATATATACTCACTGCCATGAAGTCAGTTCTGATTCACAGAGACCCTAGCAGAAGAGGGAAACTGCCTCATAGTTGTTTCTGAAGCTGAAAGTCCTTTTTTTTTTAAAAAAAAAAAATATGGAAGGCTTCACGAATTTGCGTGTCTTCCTTGTGCAAGGGCCATGCTAATCTTCTCTGTATTGTTCTAATTTTAGTATATGTACTGCTGAAGCGAGCACAAGCTGTAAGTCTATATAGGTGTAGACTGCCTCACCTTTATCGCACAGAAAACGTGGTGGGTTTGAACTGCCAACATTTCAGCTAATAGCTCAATGCTTGACTGACCACACCACAGGGCTCCTTGTCAGGTTAGCAGAAGTGGTTCACTGGTTAATTCTCAATTGCTTCACAGGATGTGTGAGGTCTCTGGATCCTAGTCTATATAGTCCAATGTCAGTTTTAAAACTACTAACATTGCCGGCATGAATTCAGCTTCTTCCCCCATAACACACTAACCTACCTATTTAAAGACTGAAAGAAAAGTTCCTAACTTGTAAGCATAAGTTATTTGAAAAGTTCTCCTGTTTGAGACTATTAATATTTAATGAAAATAGAATATCAATTGATGACTGCAAACAAGAAAAAGAATAAGTTTACAGATCAACAGAAAATCCTCCTGTTTGGATAGGATTGGAAACTTTTAGCAGTAATATATTCTTTAAAAGTTTATGAGATAATATGGAAGGGGGGGAAGAAAAAGCACTTGAAAGAAGCTGTAGCCATTATTAAGTTAAGATTCCTAATTCTGGGAATGAAAGGGGCAAATATTAGTATTATGATAAAAAATTTCCTAGACTTGTCAGTCCATTGCAGTGATTAGTGGTTTGGAATTTGTTTTCTGTACACACTTGGGTGACTTTCTTACCTAGAGAGCATGCCCAGAGGTGTAACATTAAGTGATCCCATCAGCATTGCCAGGGCCATGCCTGGGGCTTCCCGTTCTATTACTTCTTTTGTGGCCTGTAATTAAAGATTAAATGGCATAGTAAGTGAAATTAGCAGTTAGCCAAACAGAAGGCAGGTAGAGTACTAAAACAGCACATAATAATAATAATAATAATAATAATAATAAACAATAACAACAACAACAAACCATGCTTTTGGCTGACTTTAATTTCTATCCCTCTGCACTCCCCCAATTTATTTATCTTTGGGACTACTGCATACACAACAAAGGTTCAGAAAAATGCATAAAATTTGTATATCAGCAATTTTTCTTATCTCCTATACGTCATATTTAAATTTTGTTTAATAAACTAAAAATTAACATAATACCTCGCATTATACCTCAGATTGCTAAAATAGCTCAAAAGCCTTTCAGTGTAAAAATGTGGATATTTTCCTTTGTCTTTTACTACTAAGAGTAATAAAAACGATCAACACCCTTGGTACTAGCAGTCAGGAGACATATTGTACTGGGAAAGTCAGCAGTCAGGAACCTCTCCAAATTATTTGGGACAATGATGTTAGTTAGGGGATGAAGGTATCCCAGATTCAGGCCATGGTCTTCTCAATCACTTCTTATGCATCAGAAATCTGGACAATAAATAAGAATCACAGAAGAATCAATGCTTTTTAACTGTGTGTGGCAGTGATGGATATCTCATGGACTGCAAAAAGGACAGAATATGTCTTGGAAAAATTTAAGCCTAAATGTTCCTTGGAAGCAAGGATGCTGAAGCTTCATCTCACATACTTCGGGTGTGTTGCTAAAAGAGGCTATTTATTGGAGAGGGACATCATGTTTGGAAAGATAGAAAGTAGGTAAAAGAGAGAAGAACTCAAACAGTTGACAGACATAGTGACTGCAGCAGAAGGCTCAAGTAAGTAAGAGATTGCAAGGATGGCACAAAGCAGGACAGGGTTCAGAGGTGTCATTCATAGAGTTATTATGACTCATAGTTAACTCCATGACACCTATCCACAAAACCACCTTGCTATATGGTGACAGTCAAAACGTGGTATAATTTCAAGATGTCCTAAGAAGAAACATGGAGGTATTCAAATTATGAATTGCTTGTTGACTTTTACAACTCTAAAGGACCTTAAAATCTTAGAAGATCAAGCAATGAAGTGTTATTGACAATATTGCTAGAGCTCTCTGGGTAGGGTTAGTATTTATTTCATAGCTGGCTTGATAGTCACCTAAGCAATGACTGATGGGAAATATTTTTAAAACAAAATAAAAATAAAAACAATATTCCACTTAAGCTTGAAGAAAATTCATTAGTAAGCACTTAATATTCATTAATAAAGTACTTAAGTACAGAACTCTGGTGGCATAGTTCATTATCCGTTAGATTAATAACTGAAGATAAATGCTCAAATACACTAGTAATTCTTTAGGAAAAACATGGGCAGTCACCTGCTCTAAAGATTTACAGCCTCTTATGGAGAGTTAATATGAGTTGGACTGACTGCATTGTAGTGGTTTGTTTTCTTTTAGCTTTCTTGTACAAAATATAAGTCACAGTGTAGTTCAAGTGGTTAACACTCTTAGCTGCTTAAAGAAAATACGGAGTGGAGTCTACGAGAATAGCTCCATATAAGGTCTAGTGATCTAGTTTTCAAAACTAGCCATTGAAAACCTTATAAAACACAATTCTACTGACATACATGAAGGCACTCTGAGTTGGAATCAACTTGACATCAATTGGAATGCACTAAGTTTGACTCTGTGTACTGGAGATGCAGTAGTAAATTGACATTTCTAAGACTGTGTAAACACTATAATTTATACATTAAAATATCAAATGTTTCATTTGTAGAGAGTTGTCTAAAAGAGATGTACTTCATTAATTTGAGACCAGACCACTATTTACCTGGAAGGTCTTATTTTCACGTATTTGGATTTTAAAAAAATTTTTCCCCATATATTTGTTTTATTAAATTTTGGTTTTGGATTTGTTAAAACAGCTCATTGAAACTCAGATTTGCTATATGGATGTCTTTGATTTTTAATGTTCATCAGTCTGCACTGTGGTCGACCATCTATTAGAAGGACCTGTGGGAGAAACTCTTTTAGGTAGTCTCAGGTGGGAATTAGTACTTTTCAGTGCAACTAGTTTATTTTCAAATCATTGTGCTTTTGAACTAAGTTATACTTTAGAAAGGAGACAAATTTGTGAATTCCTTTCAGTAGGCTTAATGAACATATTATAGTTTAATTTTCTTTTACTTTCCCTCATTTTACAGATAAATCTTTTAAAAAATGTTATGTTTATGTATTTGCATAAGTCATAGTAAATATTTTACACACTACAATATAAACCTGATGTTCATATTCTATATTTAAATAAACATTTAATATATATTTGTATATATCAAAATACATAAACAATAGAAAAATATAGATGGGTGCCCTGAAGATTTTCTAGAGAATTTTATGAAATATAAATATATATTATGATGGCACTGAAAGGGATCCAGAGTATACTAGTCAGTGGTTGAGGGAGCCAAACTCTATCAAGGACTACAATTAAACCACCTTTTCCAAATACGAAATGCTTCAATGCACAGATACAATTTCAACCATAATAAATATTTCAAATCTATTTTTTCCATAAAATATAAAACCTTCCCTTAACTTTTTTCTGATTTCATCTTTTTCTTAAGCATTTGTTATTGCTGGAATATTGCCATCTTTAAAGTCAGACAATATCTCTGTAGCGTTGAGGCTGATAACAGTGAACAGTGGGCTGTTACAATACATAGCTAAGTGCCCAAAATACAACATGTTGTTGTTGTGCTGTTATGTGCCGTCAAGTTGCCTTCAGCTCATAGAGACCCTTTGTACAAAAGCTCTTAAGCTTGCCCTGTCTTGAGCCAGTCTCAATGACACCTACCCCTATTGCCCTAGTTACTGTACCAATCCATCTCATCCAACTGTCTTCCTCTCCTGTGCTGTCCCTCCACCCTTCCAAGCATGATGTCCTTCAAGGATAAAAACTTCCTGGCCACATGCCCAAAGTATGTGAGACAGAGCTTCGAAATCCTAGGCTCTAAGGAAAACTTGGTTTCACCCTCTCCAAGAAAGACTTATTTGTATTCTTGGCTGTCCATGATATGTTCAAGACTCATCTCCAACATCACAGCTCAAACGCATCAATTCTTCTGTCATTATTCATGCACAGCAAGTAATTGTGAGGACCATGGACTGGATCAGGCACACCTTAGTCTCCAGACTGATATCGTTGCTTCTCAGTATTCTAGAAAGGTCCCTAATAGCAGATTTACCTAATGCAATTCACCTTTTGATTTCCTGACTGCTGGAAACAAGAAACAGGTAACAATTATTCATTAATGCTCAAAGTGTTGATTGAGGAACCAAGCAAGCTGTAACTATGATCAATCTCAATCTTTTCTCCATCCATCATGATGCTTCCAGTTGGCCCAGTGGTGATAATCTTTGCCTTCTTGATGTTGAGCTTCAAGACACTGAAGACTGTAGTACTTGACTTTCTGCAGCAAGTGCTTCATGTCCGCCTCAGCATCCAATAAATGTTTGTTGATGAAAAGAATGAATAAATAAATAATCCGTTTAAATATTGGTTTGCTACTTAGCTCTATGAACAGAATATTTAATTTCTCTGAATTTTTATTTACTCAGAAATGAAAAACTAACACGTTTTTGTTGTTATATACCATTGAATCACCTGCAACTCACTATGACCCCATGTACAACAGCTCTGACGCCTGCCCTATCCTGAGCCAGTCTTTCTGACTCTGACACACCTAATCCAATTGCACCAGTTACTGTATCAATCCATCTCATCTGGGTCTTCCTGACATCTGCGTATCGCAGGTTGTTAATGAGTCTTCCTCCAATCCTGATGCCAGATTCCTCCTCGTACAACCCAGTCTCCTGAACGATCTGTTCTGCATACAGATTGAAAAGGTATGGAGTCAGGATGTATTTCTGATGCACTCATTTTGTACTGTGAACCATGCATGCAGTGTTTTCTTGCTCTGTTCTGACAACTGTCTCCTGGTCTGAATATGTGTTTAACATGAGCACAACTGAGTGTTCTGGGATGCCATTTTCCTCAAGGTTAGCCACAATTTCCTGTGATCTATGCCTGTGCATAGTTAATGAAACACAGACAGACATTCTACTGGTACTCTTTGCTTTTTGCTAAGATGCATCTGACGCTGACAATAATGTCTCCAATGCCATGACCTCTTTTAAACCCAGTTTGTATTTATGATAGTTCTCTGTTGATGTACTGTTTCAGCCATTTTTAAAAATAATCTTCGGCAGGATATTGCTTGTGTGTGATATTAATGATATTGTTCATTAATTTCCACACTCTGTTAGGTCACCTTTTTTTGGAATGGGAATAAATATGGATCTCTTCCAGTCAGTTGGCTAGGTAGTTGTCCTACAGATTTCTTGGCACACTCCGGTGAGCATGTCTAGGGTCACATCTGTTTGTTGAAATGTATCAATTGGTATTCCCTCAATTCCTGGAGCCCTACTTCTTGCCAGTCCTTCAGAGCAGCCTGAAGTTCTTCCTTTATCACCATTGGCTCTTGACTGTATGTTGTTTCATGAAATACTTCTCTGTGTCAACCAACTCTTTTTGGTATAGTGACTATCTTTTTTTAAAGCTTCCTGGATTGCTCAATATTCTGCCCATAGTATCCTTAATGATTGCAACTTGCAGCTTGAATTTGTTCTTTACTTTCTCCAGCTTAAGTAAGAACTGCTGAGCAAGTTAGGCCCTTTTGATTTTCAGATTCCAGCTCCTTGTAAATTTCATTCTAATACTTTGCTTTGTCTTTCTGAGCTGCCCTTTTAAATTTTCTATTCAGATCCTTAACATCTTGGTTTCTCTCCTTGCATTGGCTTCTTGTCATTCTTGTACAACATCAGTCTCTTCTGGCATCTGTTTTGGTCTTCATCTTCTTTGTAATGATCTTTTGCATTCTTCATGAATGATATTCTTTATATCCTTCCA